ATGCAAAGTCTCACACACACATGGGTAAGTATCAGATTCAGCAAGCTGTAGCCTCCCCTACAGCCAAATCAACACACACAAATATCAGGACCTGCTGCATTGTAAATCCTGAATAACCAAGTTATATTCACACAAACACAGAGGAGAGATGGGGAGGGAGAGGGATAGGGAGAGAGAGAGAGGAGGTAGAAACAGAAGAGCCTGAGGGCAAGGCTGAAAAAGATGGGTGCTGGATCCAGTAGGTATCCCATCACCCATAGTCAAACCCCCCTGTCCAGTAGGTATCGCATCATACACTCACACCAGAACATGATGCCAGGTTCTGATATATTTCCCATTCCCTTACAACCAAATCCCTCTATATATGGCAAGGTGTCATGTCTTTCAGTGTGTCCCCAGTCTTACAACCACAACCTCCCCATGCAGAGTTTGGAGTCAGGTACTGCTCAGAATCCCTTCTTCTATATCCAATGACACACATATGAACATACACACATGGGAGCTCACAGGTCCTTTGAGGTTAGCCCTACATAGCAAATAAAATACCTATAAACACACACTCTCACACACACACACACACACAGACACACACACAGACACAGTAAGTTTTCTGGTCCTGTAATGTATAAATGGCCATGAAAATTCTCTGTTTCTGTCTCTGTCTCTCATACACAAACACTCTCAAACGCACATACGCACGCGCGCACACAAACACACACACACACACACACACACTCATCCATAATGAGGTGTCAGTCACTTACTGCTAGATAATCATTCCATTCAAAGCCCCCTCTTAAAACCAAATGCAGGCCCTTTTGTCAGTCTCCTCCTCTGTAACTAAGCCCTCACACAGTACATTGCTCTGCCTGTATCTATCTACCAGGTATTTTTTCCTGCACAGCCAATGTCAACATATAGCAGGATTAAGCTCCTGCTAAGCACCCCCTGCCCTAGAGACAAAAGTCCCAATACAAATAGAAGCCAGGTATCAGACATTTAGGGTAGCCTTTTCCCTACTGTAAGAATTCCAATAAAAGCAAAGGTGTATGCATAAGATCAAACCATGCCTCCTGAACATGGCTGTTATGTTTGGAGGCCTGGGTAGGCTATGGGGCCACTGGCAGTAGAACCAGTATTTATTCCTGTGCATGAATGGGCTTTGGGAGATCATTCCATATGGGGATACTCTCTCAGCCTAGACATATGGGGGAGTACATTATAAAAGATAACCGTTGTTTAATAATACTCATTATTCAAGTACTTAATGAGTGTATTAAATACTAGATACTAAATTTACCCAAAGTAATCACTATTGATAACCTTGCTTTTCCCTCTCCCTGGGTCCTGGACAACCTGCCCTGCTCTTCTCCCAATTCCAATCCTACCCCCCCCCCATTTCTTCTCCTCAGCACCCACTCTGCACCACCCTTTATTGAGCCTGAACCTTCTGCCACTTGCCTGTCACTCCCTGCCAGCCTGCTGCTGGGCCCGAGACTTCTTAGGGAAGCTTTCCTGGTTGCAGGGACTCTCTAATCCTCTGGCTCTCTCCGTACCTCGGGATGGCTCTTCTCCAAGGCTACATTTTCAGCCCTGGATCCATTTTTAACAGGTTTTTGCTGCTCTCTGACAAGTGTCAAAGGTTGCATGGCTGCATAGTACAGGTTTAGGTGGCTGCATAAGGACTCTGCATGCAGAAACCAGCAATCACCACATGAAAGCCTCACTTAATGGACCATTATCCAGCTATTCCCACTCCTAGATGTTGTGAAATCTAAGCTGGTATCTCATTCATAGAAGGTAGGAGCTGTGTCATTGCCATGTTTGACACCTAGATAATGGGATTCACACCCATTACACCCAGTTGCCCTCCATGATTTTACATGTTTGCATGCATACATTTATTTAGAGACAGTGTTTCTTTCCTGTTGTACAGGCTGACCCCAAACTCTCTATGTTGCTGAGAATGACCTTGAACTTCTGTTCCTTCTAATCCCCATGAGCTCTGGGAAAACAGGCATATGCCACTAACCCTGATGCATGTGGTCCTCACAATTGAAACCACAGCTGCTTGTGTGCTCACCAGTCAGCTGCTGCTGTTTGATTTCTCGTTGTTTGGAAGTGTCCCGTGTGCCCAGGATGGTGTTCTACTCTTGTTTCATCCAAGTCACAAGTCTAAGGAAGTATCCATTCATCTTCAGTGGTAGATCTGCTGAGATCACGTGTGCAAAAATGAAAACCCTACATTTAATTAGAAGCACTTGTTCTCACTGCATATCTGTCTAAGGAAATACATGCTTGGTATTATAAACGTAGACAACTAACCTTGGCTGCAGAGGTCATGGACTAGACAGGAGAAGAAAACTACTACTTCCATCATATTAAACAAATGTAATATTTAACTGTATTCCAAAAGTATATTGTTGTACCCACATATAAATATAGCAGCTGATTCTCATCAAAACACCTTTTTGAAACACCAGACTACTACAGAGACCCACAACTGGTCAAAATGCAGAGATGTGATTTTGCCATCCTAAATCTAGGTTGACAAAGGTGCAATTGTGTCTTTTACGGGAAAGGTTAGCTCTGTCTCTCAATGATGTGGCTACAAATGCAAGACAAATATGAAACAGCAGTTCACATGCAAATGCAGACAGGGTCAATTCCACATGGAACGCCATGACAAGTGTTACAGGTTATCAGTACCTGTGCAGACAGAATCAGTCTCCTTCAGGGACAAGCTCCCACTTAGGTTGTTCACTCCCCAGTGGTCTGCTCTGCACATCCATACAAATGAACAAAGATCAATGTCCTCAGAAGGATAGAAATTCCTGTGTCTATGTATGAACACAAAACCACATACATATATGCATTTAACTCATTAAAGGGTCATGTTTGGCACTTACATGGGATACATACATTTGTAATTAGGCCTTACATGACACGCTTCTTTACACACACACACTCATGCATCAAAGTCTTCATACATTATTAAATATCAGTTCAGGATGCCCCTTTGCAACCACCTCACACCAGGAGGAGTCAAGACCTGATGTGTCCCCATTCATCTGCTATGCTCAAACATCCTTGCTAGTAATTGTCACCCACCTTCCAAAGTGGAGCCATATCCCGGCTTTCCATCCAAAGTGGTACCCATTTCCTTCCAGCTTGCTGTCACCTTCCTGTTAGGAGAGAAACATGCTTCTGACAAAAGCTCCACAGTAAGGGCCCCTTCACCAACAGCTACTGGTCCAGCATCATGCAGTGGGACCATGACTCCTGTGACAAGAGGGACAATGGGATGTAGGCAGGCTGCAAACACAACAGCAGGGAAAGGAGGAAGAGGGAAGAGAAGGGTCACCTCTCCCTCAGTGTGACAAAACATCTCCCTTTGACCTTACCTTTGTAAAGAAAGACAAAAGAGCATTGCTGTGGTCTACCCATGAAGACCGTCCCTTCGGGGACTTCTAATTAATGGGCAGTTTGGAGGTGAATTTTGGCACAAGGCTTCCCTCTGAGAAGAATGCTATGGAAGGCCATCTTTAGGACTTAGCCTTGTTACCTATAGTTTTCTATGGAGAATCCTGTGGTAGACAATGGCTTATCTCCTCTTGTGCTGGACTTCTCTCCTGGGTTAGTGGACACATGGCCATCTGGACTTCCTGCAGGGCTTCCACTTTGGCTGTCTCAGTCACACCAGGAAAATTTCTACCCTATGTCTCAACCTTCATAGATACTTATCATTTCAGATGATAATGATGTATGCAAGACACAGTCTTAAGAACTTTGAAATATATAGTGTAGATTCTTGACTCTTATTCTATTCTGGGACACCCATTTTCAAGTGGTTTCTCCCCTCACACTCTTCCCTAGTGTTTGGAGTTTTATTACCTCAAACCTTTGATCCTCTCCTATCCTTTCCTATTTTAACTAATTTTTTCTGCCTCTGAAACCACTGCTTCTCATCCTCTGTTGTTTATCTTCAGCTAAACCATTTCATGCTGATGGTTATGGTGGTGCTATAGGACTGTTCCTTTAGAAGTAAGATTTGCTAATTTTCATATTCATGACTATCATGTGATGTTTGCAGTGGACACTAGAAAACATATAGATTAAGAAATAGATTAAGAAACACAGGAGTGGACCTTGGGCACCCCATACAGCTGCGTGTGTGCAACCGCACAACTCTCCACTTCCACCGGTACCGCTTCCTCCTGAGACACGTGACTTCTCTTGCAGGCTGGCACGCAGCAGCATAGTCGTCTCAGACAATTTCCAATTCTCTTCTTAACCCTTTTCCAGACTCGGGATAGACTGCTGGCAGAGCCTGCAGTTACATCTTCAGGAGGGACATCTTCAAAGATGTTGTTGGATGTTGCCTGGGGGGATGATTTCTGGATTTCAGTTATGTCTTCATAACTTATGCCTTCAGGAGAGACATTGTCATATGTTTCATGAAGGGAAGATCTCTGGACTTCAATTATGTCTTCAGGAGTGACAGCATCAAACCTGTTCCTGGATGTTTCCTGAAGGGAAGGTCTCTGGATTTCAGGTCTGCTTCAGTAGGGACATCATCAAAGGTGTTCTTAGATGATGGCTGAAGGGAAGATCTCTGGATTTCAGGTCTGCCTTCAGTAGGGACATCATCAAAGGTGTTCTTAGATGATGGCTGAAGGGAAGATCTCTGGACTTCAATTATGTCTTCAGGAGTGACAGCATCAAACCTGTTCCTGGATGTTTCCTGAAGGGAAGATCTCTGGATTTCAGGTCTGCCTTCAGTAGGGACATCATCAAAGGTGTTTTAGATGATGCCTGAAGGGAAGATCTCTGGATTTCAGGAATGTCTGCAGGAATGACATCATCGAAGCTGTTCTTGGATGTTTCCTGAAGGGAAGAAATCTGGATTTCAGGAATGCCTTCAGGGGTGAGATCATCAAAGGTGTTCTCAGATGTTTCCAGAAGAGAATCTTTCAGGATGTCATATGTGCCAGTGGTATTCACAATGTGAGGTACCTCCCTGTAACTTCCTGAACTCTGAGTGCATGAGCTGTTGTTTTCTGAAGTCTGTAAGGGAGGTGGTACTTGGGATCCTGCATCTCCTCCTCCATGTCTGAGTAGGTACTGCCCTTGAATGGAAAGTCTGCCGTCACCATTGCATACAAAACCACTCCCTTGCTCCAGATGTCCACTGCCTTGGCGTCATATTCTTTGTCAGAGAACAGCTCTGGAGCACAATATCCAATGGCTCCGCAGAAGCCCTTGGTACTTTGGCCAGGGGAGACACGGGTGGCCAGGCCAAAGTCGCATAGCTTGATGTTGCCTTTGTCATCAAGCAGCATATTATCCAGCTTGATGTCTTGGTGTGCAATGTTATTCTTATGGCAGTAGTGAACTGCACACACTAGCTGTGTAAAAATGTGCTGGGCCTCCTCCTCCTGCAGAGAGCCCACCCTCTCAATGTGGCTCACCAGATCTCCACCAGCAGCATGTTCCAACACCATATAGGTGTAATCTTCGGTGTTGATGACATGGAACAGCTTAATAATATATGGGTGGTCCAACGTTTTCAAGATGTCAAGTTCGGTTTGAATGCTGAAGTCATTCCTTGTTCCATTTTGCAGGACCTTGATGGCAACTTGCTCCTCTGTTTGAAGGTGGCAGGCAAGCTTCACCTCAGCAAAGTTCCCTTTGCCAAGGGTCCTGAGGATGACATAGTGATCGGATAGTGTCTCCTCTTCAGAGGTGCTGGCCTTCAGGTCCAGCTGCATGGTCACCTTCCCACTGGTCTTGTTAGTGAGGTTCTTGGTAATATCCATGACAACACCAACTGAGAAAACCAGATAAAAACAAAGAGAAGTAGGTCTTAGGGAGAGTCTATAGCTTTCAGTTTCTACTTGGAGAAGTGTGACAAATGCAAGGCACACTTACAATGAACCTGTGAGTCACACAAATAAAAATGAGAATAAACTTGACTCCATGAAGGCTTTTGGAAAATGTACTGAAGATGAGAACTGAATCTGAGGAAGTAGACAATAATGCACATTCCAAAAGCATAAAACATTGATTATTAAAAAGGGCAAACAAAACAGACACAACCTTACCAAAAGTGGTTATGTAGGAGAAAACACAGTTTAAATCTATAGCCAAACTTTGATGCTGTTACAGCCAAAGTGGCTGGAATATAAAGAATCATTTGGAAGGATTTATTTTGGCAACTAACATGACAATTCTTGGGAATAAATTTTTCTTCACTACAAAGTTCTCAATAACCTAAACAATGGAAATCATATAGTCATAAACACTTGAAATACTTTCTTAATGAAAGTATAGAGTGCTAATAGTAACAGAGAATCAACATTTCTGAAGAAATAACTAAATCAGAGGGAATAGAAATAATCATGCTACACAGCTCAACAGATGCTCTCCTTTGCTGAGAAAAAGAAATGCTGTTTTTTATGGAAAAGATTTCCATTATCAAATTCTAAGGTAATCCTTTAACAGCCATTAAATTTACCTATGTTTCCTGTTCCCAAATAGTGTATTTTACTTTGACATAATTTGGTGAATATTATGATATCATATTTGTCTTTTAGTAATGTAGAAAATCATTCTGTATTAATTAATAGTCATTTGCTGCCATGAAAACGGAATTCATGAGACATTTCTCAGAAATCCATGATATCTATCAAGTATTTAAACCTATGTACATTTACAACTTATTTTGAATTTTTTATTCTTTCAATAGTTTTGATAAATTCTCACATAATTATTCAATTTACATTTTAATTCTACTTCTTTGTTTTCAGATCTGATAATGTTTCTTTGAGAGAAGATATTACAGGTTTGATGTTTCCTTACTACATAAGTATGAATAATGATAATCCAATATTTTTCTGTTCTCTATATAGTGATAAAATAAAAGATTTTCTAAGCAAAAATCTGGACTCACTTAGTTGTCCTAATTTATGCTGGATGCTCACATAAGTGGCACATTTTATTTCCAGAGTACTATGATAGCCCTGACTTTCCTTCTTTCTTTCTTTCTTTCTTTCTTTCTTTCTTTCTTTCTTTCTTTCTTTCTTTCTTTCCATAATTTCCTTCTTTCCTTCCTTTATATTTTCTTTTGACCAGAGGTATCTTTGTGTTTATAATGGTCATTTCTCTTTCTGACATTGTATTAGCTTTTTCATATCATTAGAGAACATTACAAATTCAGCATCTTAAGAACACTCTCTCAGCCTCAATACATGGAGGAGGGCCTAGGTTCTGCCCTAAATGATGTGATAGATTTTGATGATCCCCCATGGGAGGCCTCACACTCCTTTAGAAGTGGATGGGGGGATGGGATGGGGCATTGGTGGGAAGAATGGGAGGAAGAGAGGGAGTGGGAACTGGGGTTGGTATGTAAAATATGATTTCTTTTAATTTAAATAAAAATTAATTAAAACAAGAAAAGGCCTTCTAGGAGTCAATGATGTCAACACATTTCTCATTCAAATTGCTCAAGTTTCCCAGTATTTTATCCTATTCTCATATATTATGCCCTGGCCATATTTTTCCCTCTTTGCCCTCCCCCAGACTCTCCCCCTGTCTTCCCCAGATTTACCCTCTCTACATATCCCCTCGAGAAAGGTCAGGCTTCTCAGGAACACCAACCAAATATGGTATAATATGCTACTGTAGGACTGGGAAATACAGCCGCAGGAGGAAAAGGGTAGCATAAGTAGGCCAAAGAATAAGTGACCAACCATCCCCCACTGTTAGGAATCCCACAATACCATAGGCTACTTAGCAATATCATATATGCATAGGAACTGGGTAAAATCCCCTGTAGGCTCCCTGATCTCTGTGAGCTCCTATGAGTACCAGACAATTTCTCTGTGGGCAATGTTCCTGTGCTGTCCCTGACCCCTCTGTTTCCTCTGATTCTTCATTTGGAAGTATTTTAAAAATGTGTACTAGCATGAAATGGAAAACTGGAGCAAATGGCAAACTTCTAAACTTGTGTGAACTAGCAAAACTGCAAAGATAGCATATAAAACCAAAGCAGATCAATAAAGAGAAACATAGTTCAATATTTGTTGAAGAAAAAAAACTCTAGAAAAAATTTTGGTTCACTGACATGATCAGGTTCTACCTTTATGAATAGCTGAACATGGGACCCACGAAAACTCCCAAAGTTCACATAGACTGCTAAGACTGTTTCTTATCCACAACCTTATTGTTATACCTTATTGCTGAAGACAACACAAGTGTGTGTTAGTCAACATGGAGAAGTTGAGTGGGTGAATACCTAGAAGACTCACCACTACTGACTGACGAGCATGACACAGGAATATACTCTGCAGTCTAGTGAAGGAGAAAGACAATCTTCAATATCCCCCAGCTACAAACCCTAGAACAACAATGACCCATATACAAAATAGACTGAAACAATAATGGCATAAATACTCTGTCCATAATCAGCCACTTTTTGATTGGTTTTCAGGCCCACTCCATGAGATGTAAACTGTAACTGACACTGCTAATGTGGCCAGGAGACTGAGTAGGTTGGTCGTGGGCCTATGGGAAAACCTGATGCTATTATCCTGCTAAAGGAACATAGTGATAAAACAACTCTTGATGACGTAGTGCTATACTGAGAGATTAGCGTTTCAAACATCCCACACCAGTGAAACTCTCTTGCAAGAGATGGAACTAACACAGAGACTCATAACGATGTAGAGAGAGTGTGAGACTTTGTAATACTTAGTTCTAAATGGGATGGCTTCGTGAAAATCATCCTTCAAGTTTCAGGGAGCAACTGACAAAAGGAGACAGAAAGACATTAGGAGCCAGAGGCAATAGATGTTCACAAGGAAGAAGATAATCACAGTACATATGAACACATAAACTCACGTAGACTGTAGCAACACACAAGCATAAAAAGCTTCAAGCCAGATGGGGTTCTAGCAATGAAAAGTGGAAGGGGAAACAAGTTTCCATGCCTAATCAAGGACACTTTTGCAATTGTTTCCTGATGGCAAAGGAAGAATCAGTTTCCTTCAATGAGTTCTCACTGGGTATCTTAACTACTCCACTTGATAGGACCCATGTGGGAGAAACATTGGCAAACACATAAACCAGCTCAATAGAAGTGTCATAGACGTTTTGACTCATTTTTTGAGGATATTTTATAGGTATTGATTTTTCTTTGTGTTTTGCTTTTTAATAGAAAGAGAGGAAGACCATAGCCCTACATGGGTATGCAGGGAGGAGGGTGTGGAAGTAATTGGGATAGGCAGAAAATGATAGAAATAATTATAGAACAATGGAGTACTATTCAGCAGAAAAAAATAATGGGATCATGAGATTCGCAGGCAAATGGATGACACTAGAAGAAACCATCCTGAGTGAGGTAACCCAGTCACAAAAAGAGAAACATGGCATGTACTCTCTCATATATGGATTTTAGACATAGATCTGGGGGGTGCCAGCCTACAATCCTATGGCTAGAGAGTCTGGGAAACAGAAACTTCATTTAGTGGCTGATCGAAGAAGAGGCAGACTCCCTTGGTTAAGTACTGAGCTGAACTCAAGAAAGCCAGTAACAGAGAGGGAGGACTGATGATCAAAGAGATTAAGACTGGGCTGGTTTAACCCCCAGAAACAGCTGACCTGACAAAGGTTAACTCTTGAATCCCAGGCATCAGCCTGGGAATCCATCATGGGACTGATCAAGACCTCCGGAATCTGGGTGTCAGTGAGGAGGCCTAGGTAATCTATTGAGCCTTGGGCAGCAGATCAGTACCCATCCCAAGTATACACACGGACTTTGGACTCCCATAGAACAATGTGAGGTGCACTCTCACCCTGAACTCTTGGGGAAGGGTCTAGGCCCTGCCCTATATGAAATGACAGACTATGGACGCCCCCATGGAGGGCCTCCCCTCCCTGGGGGAATGAGGGGAAAACGGGGGGGAAGTTGGGGGAGGGCACGGGAGGAGGGGAGGGAAAGGGAGAGGGACCTGGAACTGACTTGTGAAGCAACCTTGTTTCTTATCTAAATTTAAACTGGAAAATAAAATTTAAAAAAAGAATATAAAGAATTTTATAGGGATAAGCCTCACCTTTGCTTCATGTGTATAAATGTGTATATACTTATATAAAGTCTAATAAAGTAAACATCTTATAAAATATATTAAGTAAAAAAAAAGAAATAATTGTAGAAAAGAGTATCCCTCCACAGCTAATGGGCTCCCAAAGCCATTCACGCACTACGGATAAATACTGATTCCACTGCCAGGGGAACTATAGAATGCTCAGGCCTCCCCACTGACACCCAGGTTCAGGAGCCCTGGTTCCGTCTTAGGCAGACACCTGTGCTTTTATTGGAAGCTTTTACTGTAGGGAAGAGGTTACTAAGAAGGACTGGTACCTGGCTTGTATTCATATTGGGACTTTCGCCTCTAGGGGAGGGGGCAATTAGGAGGAGCTGAATCCTGCTATATGTGGGGCTTTGCCTGTGCAAGGGAAAATACCTGGTAGAAACAGACACAGCAATGTATTGTGTGGGGTTATTAGTTACAGAAGAGGGGAGATCAGGTGGGATGTGCATTTGGTTGTCACAGTGGGGCTTTGGTCAAATGGAAGGATATAAAACAGTAAATAACTAACACCTCTTTCAGAAAAGGAGATGAAAGACAAGAGAGACTTTTGTATTTCATAGACATTTATACATAGCAGAACCAGAAAACTAACTCCGTGTGTGTGTGTGTGTGTGTGTGTGTGTGTGTGTGTTAGCTTGGATTAACCTTACAACCTGTGACTTCCCATGTGTGTCTGTGT